CAAGCTTTTGAAGTTCATCGGTGTGTTAGTTTGTGTCAAGAGTATTTTTTAAAAATTATGTTTGGCGTGGAATAGTGATCATTATATTAAAATAATTTTGAGCGAGCTGACTATTTTACACATACTATCATGCTTCTCACATGAGCTTTCTTTATTAGAGATCATAGTCGGACTTTTAAGTCATTTCAATTCTGGTTTCTTGACCTAATCTCTCAACAACTACATAGTTTCCTTTACTGCTGATATGTGAAAGTCTTATTGTTTATAGAATTATCTGGAAGTTGTTTTGGTGGTAAGTGGTAACTATAATTGCAGTTTATTTTACTCTTTCACTTGTATTTTTGTCATTCCTCATCCTTGTCTCTCTTTGTTCTAAAAGGCTCTGGTTTGCACACTTTCGTCTTGTACTTGGGCCCTCATATTGCTCTATTCACAATAAAATCTGTGAGCTGCGGCAGGGTTGACATAAAGAGTGCTCCATACGATACAATTCAGTTAAGAAGTGGTCCTTCATGGCTGGATAAGGATTGTTCTGAATTTGGTCCACCATTGTTTTCTTCTGGTGCACGGGTACCATTGACTAGCATACTGAATCAGGTTCAGTTGGAGGCTATATTGTGGGGTATTGGAACAGCTCTTGGAGAGCTTCCTCCTTATTTCATCTCTAGAGCTGGTAAGCAGCATTTCCAATGCGATTTCTTCTTGCACAGTGGTGCTTTACTTCGCATTTGAACTTCTGGAAACTTTTTTACTCCAAATAACTGTATTGCAGGATATTTTTTTTATCTCTGTAATCTTTTTCTTTATCTGTTCTTGGGACGACAAGTATCAATCTTTTTGGCAATCGTACTTTAATCCATTTATATTTATTTCCCTTCCGACTTCTAAAAAGCTGGCAAAAAAGATCATAATGTCAGGAGTCCTTGGGGCAGAGACAGTTACGTCATGTGAGGGCCAGCTAGCTCTCCTTCATAATAAAGGAAAAAAAGAAAAAGAAAGAGAATTGTATTTTCCTCCTTGATCTTTTTAATTCTGCTGGAGATACTTTCTAGTCTGGCTTAGGGCCTGATGAAAATTTTACAACTTGTAGTTCTTTTTGCCTTCAGCTTGGAATACCTTTGGGAATGTTATTTCCGCAGAAGCTTTGAAGATAGTTTCCTATATTCCTTATCTAAGCCCACCTACCATCTTCCTTCTAGAGCAATAGAACTTCTTTCTTTCTTCAACTTCATGTTTTTTTTCCCAGTTCTGTAATGTTTCGAGTTATCCACAACACTAATAAGTTTGGATATATAGTTCCAATTATTATCTTGCACAACACCGCTTTACAGTAATGCATTAGTGGCAGAGTGGCCGGAGTCACCAGATTAATGTGGTACTGATGTTTCCCTTGCTCTTGAAAAATTGCAGCTCATATCTCTGGTAGCGAAGGGGAACTTATGGAAGATTTGGATTCTGGTTCAAAGGAAGATAGTGGAATTATCAGCAACCACTTAAAACAGATAAAACAGTGGCTTCTTTCTAACAGACAGTATTTGAATTTCTTCACAATTCTGGTTCTTGCTTCGGTAAATCCTATCTCACTATTCACGTTTTACTGGGACCTTATTTTGTCCCTCTAACAGAGTTTCTTCAAATTACGTCTATTAACCCCTCCTTTTGACCTCTGTATTGCTTTATTTTTCAATCCTCATTAAGGTTTTTAAACATAACTTACGCTAGAAGTTCATTAACCCCCTTCCCCCTAGACAGAAAAAGAGGAGAGAAGGAAGTACCTTTTACTGCTTGACTGCTTCCTCATTTTTTATCATTTGATAAATAATGAAATGTCTTCGTTTACAGTCTCTCCCTGGGGTGCTGCTATATTCTTAAAATTTCATCATAAAATAAGTATGAACAATTAGTCTTGATATATTTTGTTTTTTTCGTTTTTCTGATGTTTCTTTTTTTTCTTATTTCTTATTTCTGGGAACAAGGGCACTTCTGTGCACAATTAGATGCCCCACTTTGTAGCTGTGAAGTTAATTTTCTAGAATCTTATTTTATTCCAGATCTCAATAGTTAGTTTGATCATTTAATTACTTGCAGTTATCATTACTGATTTAGCATGTTTTAGTTCCTCTCCCCTCCCCCTAATGAAGATCTGGAGACTCGTTTGTACCATATATCTCGCAAAGGAAAGGTGGGGTTGGGGTGGGAATCACAATCTGTTCTCGTCTTTTCTAACATTTGTGGGGGTACACAATTGTGTTTTGTCCTTTAGAACGTTTATCTCTTTTTATGCATGATGCTTTTGTTGCTGCCGATCCATTTTTATGTTTGTTTTGATAGCCTATTTAGTGCTCTCTTTGTTTCCTGTGAAGGTGCCAAATCCTCTGTTTGACCTTGCTGGTATCATGTGTGGCCAATTTGGTATTCCATTTTGGAAATTCTTTATAGCAACACTGATTGGGAAGGCAATTATTAAGACTCACATACAGGTCTGCATCTACCAAATGTTATCATTTGTTGTTAAGCTTCCAATGCTTCTCTAGCTATAAGTATTTGAACGCTTGACAAATATGTTTTCAAACTTCATTTAAAAGAGATTATATCATGTATTTTTGCTGAGTCTTAAGGTATAAGACAGGTGGATATACCGTTGCCAGGCTCTCCAGCTCCTGATTTCTTCTCCCTCGTGTTTTCTTCTATCCTCACTTCCCCCCACCAGTGTTCTGCCCAGTCTGCTCCATCAGTCCGTCCTTGCTCTTATTCCCCCTCTTCATGACTATGGACCATCAATTACTGCAAAATCGCTTGTGATTAAATTCCGATTGCCAAGATTTGATGAAACCTGTAAAAATACCCTGTTTTACAAGCTAACATTCCACACTTAGTATAGTAATCACTATTATGCGCTGTCAATTAGATTAATTTGGACAAACTTTATCGATGATCATTTGTATGGATTATAAGTGTGCGTTTTGGAGCATTTTTAAACTGATTACTCTTCACTTTTGGTCAAGAGCCGAAAAATATGTCAAAGAACAGAAAACAAACAGTAGCTAACTTCATATCCCAACTGACATATCAAAGTTTGGTTGTTAATTTGAGAAAGTTACTTTGCAGACAGCATTTATCATCTCAGTTTGCAATAATCAACTGTTGGACTTGATAGAAAATCAATTAGTTCGGGTGCTTGGTCTCATCCCTGGAGTTGCTTCGCTTATGCCAAATATCATCTCCAAACTACATGTTGCTAGAGAGAAGTACATGGCAGCGTCCCCTCCAGTGTCTAACGTAAAGGTAATATACTGAATCATCAGAAAAATTAATGTTGAGGTAATGCTGTCGTTACTGCTTCATGCATGTTTTCCTATGCTGAAGGTAACTTTCTCCTTCTACCTTCTGAGCTGGAATATATCTTGAACTTTACTGTTGCTTTATAGGTGTAAGAAGGTTTAGTTCAAAGAAACTTAGCTGTCATCTAGTTGGTATGCATAAAAATGTAGCCCAAGTCAACTTATCAGAAAAAGAAAAGCCAAGCCTTATATACTATTTTTATGCTGACAAGAGTTGTATCATCTGAGAAGGAAAAAAAGGTGTATTACCATCTGAGATCCTCTTCAACTGAGTTTCTGAGAAAAAACTTTGACTAAAATTAACCTACTAATTAAGCATAGAATATCTGCTTAACATGCAACAACCATAACCAGAGTCTCTATTCACACCCATAGCTTGTCACCTGAAGATCTCCTTGGCTAATTATCTATACCAGAAATATGACCTGGGTATGGTAGAGTTATTAGATCCTAGTTAACCTGCTTGTCCCCTGACTCGTCAATTCCATTCGTGTATGGATGGCCTCTTTTACACGAGGATATCAACTGTTATTTGTTGAACAAATATGCAGTTTAAGTCTGTATGCATACATACAAAACAGAATCATGAACTAAAAACCTTTGTTCTGCTGCAGGCAAAAAAGTGGGATTTCTCGCTTGGTTCCGTATGGAACACTGTTGTGTGGCTCATGCTCCTGAACTTCTCAGCCAAGATTGTAAATACAACTGCCAAGAGCTATCTCAGAGAGCAGCAGGAAAAAGAGCTGGCCGCACTTGAAAATAATCATACTAGGGGATAACAGATTCATAGTAGTCCAGCATGTGCAAGGCTCCAATTTAGTTGCTGGTGGTTGAAAAAATGATCCTTTTAGTTGCTGGTAATAGATTGTGGAGTACGTTTTTGAAGTTCCATAGTCTGATTTCTTGTATTGGAAATTCAGCGCACATCAGAGGGAGAGGCTTCTTTTTATGTCCTCTCCCCTACTTCATGTATACACCAAGAATAGATTGTTCTTGAACCATAATTCAAAGAAGTATTCAGATTGGAGGAGTCATCTTATGATTTTTTATTTTTGATGTGTTCCTAACCGACACGTGCTGTTCCATTTGATCTTTTAGGTCCTGAATTCATCTCGATGGTTAGGCCACCACGCCCTTAAAGTCTATACGCGATAGATAGACTCCTAGAACCATGACATACTTCCTTACTTGAACATAATTTCTTTCCACGAAAAGAAAGGAAATTGTTCATTCCACAAAATAAAAAGCTTTTTTTACGAGATACAAATAGAAATATACTGCTTGTTTTCTCTCTTTTATTTACCTCTCTAGGGATCAATTTTCTAGGTGGATAGACAATTCTGTTTCGGTGCTCCTGAGATTATCTGAGAAGCAATCTGTTGTTTTGCATTGCTCCGACTATATGGTGCACGAAAATGAGCATTGCTTGCAAGTTTGCTAGTCTACATTAAACCAAAGGAGAACAAGGCGAAGGGCAATTTCATATAGGCCTTTGTCCTGTTTCAAGAATCTATTGGTCTCAATTTTGCAGGAAGTGTTAGCTCATATAGGAGAAATGAAGAGATCCCCCATGGCACTACAATGTCTCGTCCAGTTTTTGTAGCAAATGATTTAACAGACCGAGAGGGGATGCTGCTCGACAATTGTCTGACAAGTTAGTTGATGTAGCAGTAAGTCCTGCTGAAGTTACGGATAATACAGTTTCATTTATTTAGGTGTAACTTTTACATGAATATGGACGGAATCCAACACTTCTACAAGCACAAAAATATATACGACTATATAGAGTACATACAATGTGAATAAACTTGTTCTTGTTTTGCTGGCAGTAACAGCAATTCTAATAGATGGAACTCATCTCCTCCAATCCACTTCAACGAAGGATCATTATTCCCTTGTAGAACCAAATGCAACTCAGAGTCGCATTACCAGTAGGTTTTCTCCATTCACACATCTTTACCAGGATCAACCATTTCGACATGTACAAGTTAAGTGAACCCTGCCTCCCTCTCCCACCTCAGATCCTCAGAGAACTCTGAGAAAGCAGATCGGGGGTCACCATCTGATACAGCAAAGTAATATTGAGCAGTTTCACCATCCACTTGCATGCTTCTCCTTAGGGAGTCGATCACCTTTTTCTTGCTCCTCTCTGAGGTCAATCTTTGTAACATTGTAGTGAGCTTTGGATCAGGGCCACCTTCAAGATACAAAACTGCCACTTCCCTTTTTGCATATATATCCAGCTCAATATAGCAAGTGCCATCGATGAGGCAGTCTGGATTGCTAATAGGAATGAGTAACCTGTCCCTCGAGTATATACCATGGTCACTCAGCATATTGTTCAAGCGTTTTATATCCATGACCTGCCAATTAAAGGAAATTCTTAACCAAGTAGAAACCCACATCATTTACAAGCACAAATGATTAGTTTTTAAAAGAATAAGAACAAGTTATGGCTTCTCCATTTATAATTGTAACAACATATGACGGCCTCTCATGATTATTCACAAAGCTGCTTGTTGCGCCTAGTAGCTTATTGTCAATCCTCTCCATTATGTTTAGAGCCCAAAACAATTTTCACCCATACACCTTGTAAACACAAAGACTCCAGCACTAAAAAATGTCTATGAACACAAACACTCCAGCACTAAAAAATGTCTATCATCTTATTTTCTTCCTGTTCATTCTTTCACCAGTATTTTAACATTAGAAATCAAAATATGACCTTGAATTCAAGGACAAAAACAAAAAATGACTCCTTAAAATGAAAAATAAAACACATACATACATACAGAAAATACACATACATGTACGGAGTACTTGACGGCGAGGCTAGCAACATTATCACCACGGACGATGCGATGAGAAATGGCGAATTTGGAGAGGCTATTATCCCTCCAGAAGCTACCGGAGGTAGGATCCCCGATGACGTCCTTGATCTTCCAAGGATCCTTAAATGCCTTGGTCTGCATCTCACGATCGGACGCCACGAGGTTCCAGATCCTACACACACACGCCGCACGCGCCAAGTCTGGGAGAGCGAGTTTCTCGAGGATGGCGCGTAGAGTGTCGTGGCATATCAAGGCCGAAAAATTGGAATTCATCGGAGATATCACGGTGTCTCCGCCGTTCACGACGGAGGTTGAGGAGGAAGACGGCGGGATTTGATCGGAGTTTTGGATGTCGGAAGGGTTCAGTGGCTGGAGAAGCTGTTCGTCATCATCACAGCAACATCCCATGGTCAGATAATGGTGTTTGTGCGCATACCGCGCATTGGATAAGGAGTGGACTAACTTGCACCGCGGATGGATTTTAGCGGAGTTGATAAAAGGGGAAATTTATGTATTGGAAAAGGTACAAGTGGGGAGTAGATTTTTTCAAAATACAGATATCAAGTCGCTTATCCTCAAATGCGAATTATATATATATATATATATATAAATTTTTTTTTTTTTTTTGGTAATAAAGATAGATATTATATTTAAACAATCATATGCGTACAGCGTTTTTTGTGCTCAGTGTGCAAGGTAAACCATTACTACTGCTAGTTATATTGTTTGTAGTTTTAGCGAGCAAGCTACTAGTACAATATTCCAAACATTATGACTACTAACATAATTTCTAGTTTCACACACTGCAGGTTGCACTTCCAAGTCATATCTACAATGTTGTAGCAAGCGTGTTGTAGATACCCCAAGCTTGTCCTCATTCCATATCTTACTAACAAAAAGTGGTGGTTCAGCAAAATTCTGCGTAGTAGAATCTTCATTCAAAAAGCTTCCTGCACTTGCTAGTCTATCTGCTAATCTATTTTGCTCTCTGTACGCATGGCTTACTGGCGGATCATGCAGCTGTCTCAGTAGGTGCCTGCAATCATTTAGTAAATTAGCATGTAGTACGTTATTATTCTTCAGTAGGCTAAGTACCTCTTTAGCGTCAATTTCCACTTGAATTGGTGTTAAATTGTGTTGAACCGCAAAAGTAAGTCCCTGTAATAAAGCAAGTATTTCTGTGGTAATAGGTGCTTGGGAGAGTACTGTACCCGTGAAACCCAGTATCCAACTCCCCTCATGATGCCTAATTATTCCACCAATACCATTTTTTTTATTAGTGTGTGGAGAATGTGCTGCATCCGTAATTAATTTGTATATGTTAGGTTCCGGAGGTATCCATTTTAGTGGTACTCTAATTGTTTTTTGTATTTTATGTGATGATGCAACTAGATAACAGAATTCAATTGCTTGTTGTGTGGTGAAATTCTTATTAATGAGATCTTGTCTGCCCTCGTACATATTTTTATTTCTATTTATCCAAATATTTCAAAGACTTAATGGAAGATAAGTGCGCCTATTTAAGTTATAAGGAAATTTTTTCTGACTATAATTTAGTAACGGAATTAACCACTCCTGGGGTGTGTTATAACTTAGCAGACTATTTATATAACTCCCCATGTCCAGCGTATTCCAGAAATATTTCGCATTCGTACATGTAAGGAACAAATGATTTAAGGATTCTTCTTCTTTGTGACAGTAAGTGCATACTGCATTATCAGTGATGTTAAGATGATGTAGGTATTGCAATGTAGGTAGCCTATTGTGGTTAAGTAACCAAATAAAATATTTGATTTTAGGATGTATTGGCAGGTCCCATATCCATTTGAAATGGATATTCGTACTATGTTCGTTTTTAACTTGATTGTGAAGAGCTTTATAGATTGAATTTACCGTAAATTTTCCATCCTTAATTAATGCCCAGGAGATATGGTCAGCTTCGAATTATATGTTACTTATATATTACACGTAATGCTATTGCTGGCCATATTTTTTAGAAAATAAAGAACTAATATTATGACTTATAAAGTCTAGTAGGGAGCTTGATTTGTCAAGAGTATATAATTCCTAGACAACATTTTCAAAGAAGATATTACAACAGAAAGAGGTAGATCATAGATCATTAAACTGTCAAAAACTTGAAAGTTAACTTCCATATTTGACTAGATCGCCCCCCTACTTTGTTGTTATCTTTATATATTGGTTTCAGTTTCGGACTTCTTTGACTACGACTAATTTCACGGGATACATGTTAGCTCCCACGAGCAATATGTACTAGATAACTCTATTCACCAAGGTTGCATTCCTAGTTCATCGTTTAATGAACAGTGAGCCGTTTGTTTTCGTGTCCTATTACTTTGTTGTTGCAACTATTTGTTTACTGATTCCACTAGGTATGTTGTTATTGTTGTAGTAACTCTTATCCACAAAGGCTTTGATAGATGAGAAAAAATCACTTATTTTATCTCCGTTGAGATTTGAAGCTGAGACCTAAAGTTCTCAATCCACTTTATTGACCACTACGCCACATATCCTTGAGTGCATTTCCCATCTTGTTGAATACAAAACTTGATTATTTTAAAGTCTCAACTCTTTTTCTTCTACCACACAGGTGCATGTCTTGGAGGGGTATTACTGGGTCACAAATAATGAGGGAGGATTAGAGCAGGCAGGAAAATATTGAGGCATTAGCCATAAAGTTTGAGTTCCGCTTTGATGCTTTGGATGGACGGTTGAAAGCAGAAACTTGACACAGTGGTTAAGCACACAAGTATGCATATTACAAAGAGATTAAATGTATTTGAAAGATTTAGGGTGTAGCAGCCAATCATCAGTGTGACTACACCTCAGACTACATTACAGACTCTCAACTTGATCGGATACATAGTACAACACTTATACAAAAACAAAAATTAGATAGCAGAAAAGCTCTGAGCAGTTACCACTATGAAACTGCAGCTAGAGTGGGAAAAAAGAAGAGGAATTTAATGGTATGAATCTATTCTAGTCTTAAAACTTAGAAAGCAATCAAAGAGTACATTTAATGGAAAGCAAATCACATGGCCCACCCCTGACCAAGCCCATATGCATCCATATATCCGGCATGAGCATGTCCATGGCTATGACCATGCTCGTGGCCATGGCCATGGCCATCATGACCATGATGGTGGTGTTGATCACCACTCTGCGCTTCATCAAACATCTTCTGGATATGCTCAGGTACAGGTTCTTCCTCAGTTTGTTTCACAGACTTCGGCAAGGAGGAGACAAATTGATAGATACTTTCAGCTATCTCCTCAGAATTATGCTCCTAAAAATCAGCAAAAAGATGTTTTAGATCATCTTTGAACAACATAGATAATTAAGACATTAGTAGTTCTATTGTCAAAAAGAAATTACCCTGTAGCATCTGTACAGTTTAAACTTAAAAAGGAAAAGATATTGAACCTTAGGTATTAACAGGCATGCATATGAATCAAGTAAAAACAAGCTTCTGAAAATTATTTGAATTCCTTTGCACGAACAAACATGCAGAGCATCCCATTCACAGGTTCACAGCACACATCTGATGCCATATCCATGCTCCTTTACTCATCATTGTTGCACAAAGGTGGTGTAGCTAAACTACTATACCAACAGACAAAGCTACTCTTTTGTATCCAGATCAGGTAGAAACAAGAAAAGTGCATCATGATCATTACCCAAAAGAGACCCCACCTTTGAGACAGGCATACAACATACACAGTCACTCATAACGTGTATTTAAATTGCACGTAGCTAAAAATGGTTGATATCAAAAGTCTTGGACTAGAGAGGAGAGAGTTGAAATCTTCAAACTAAGAAGAGACTTTGTTAAATTCATAACGTAAATCTGGCTCTTACATATTCAGTTCGAGTACTCATGAATTGATCTGAAAATGGGACTAATGCGACTAATCTGCTAAAGGACAGAATTGCGCATTTTCTCTTCTTGTTTTGTTGATAAACCATGTCTACTGTAGATTACAATTGGAAAGAGCTAAGCAAATGTGACTGGAATTTATCCGTGTGAAAGCCGCAGGCCAAATTATGAAGGGAGCTCATAAAGTGACAAAGAGCTTCACGAAGCTCTAGCTAAGGGCATGATTTGGGGATTATTATGAACAAGTTGCCATAGGCATTTATGCGTAAGATGAGTTCCAGATAGAAAATGAATTAGCAAGCAGAAAGATGTACCAAATCGTGATGAGTGTGCTCCTGCATGGATATTATTGATGAAACCAAGCGTAATTAAATCAATAAAGACATGGGTAAGTAAACTAAAGATAAGGTTAAATATTTGAGGTGGCGCACGAATAACATCACGATAAAGGATGGTGTCATCAAACACTAACTTACACTTATATGTTTTTCTTTTTTTTTTTTTGTGATAAATATAATTAATTCACTTATACAATTTGTATTTTTTTTTGTGTGTGTGTGTGTGTGTGGGGGGG